TGATTTATCCATATTAGGCCATATCTTACTGTCTAAAGCAGAAGGACTTTCAAGACTCATATACCCCTGTTATTCAATTTTTACATCTCCAAAAATGATTATTATATTCAGCTTTATCTGGAAAAATAAAACGCATTATATATGCAAATCACAATTGGTTAAAGACTATGAAAATGGGGGCTTAAAAGCTTTAGACTTTGAATCCATTATTGCTGCATTCAGGCTCACATGGTTAAACGATTGCATTTCCTATCCTCAATCTATGTGGTACCATATTCCAAACAAACTCTTTAATAATGTCAGGGGGTTCGAAGTTTTGCTCAAATGCAATTTTCTAAGATTCCTCTTAAGTTGTGTAGTTTATAAGTTCATTATAGGCTTTGGGTTTTGAGAAACTAATTTTCACCCACAATTTTTCACTTCACAATTCTGTGATGTGGAATAATAGGGTTATAGTCGTCAATAAGAAGTCTTTATTTAAATCAAACTGGTATGATGGGGTTGTATGTTTTATTTTTGATCTTCTTGACAAAAACGGAAACTTGCTATGGTACGAAGAATTTATTGATAAATAAAAATGACGTTTCATTTAATAATTATAATAAGGCTTGTAAAGCGATACCCATACCGTTGTTAAATCTTATCGAAAATACTTTAAAGTATTCACATTTATCCAGTTGGAGAATTCAAAAGGTTTAATTTAGAGTCCGACTCTTGTGTTTTCTGTTCTTCTGATGCAGAAACATTAGAGCATCTATTTTTCAAATGTCAGTATGTTAATGCTCTTTGGTTTGAAATACACTGTTGGGTTTCACTCTTTCCAATATACCTTCTTTCACATCTAAGGATGTTCTTTACTTTATGGACAATCTGGATTCTAAAATCTCAGATGTTGTCAATTTTGTAATAGTGTTATGTAAGTATTTTATTCATGCATGTAAGTGGACAAAAATACCCCTCCTCTGTTTACCGTCTTCTTGAATTACTTTTGTCATTATTTTAAGTCACTTAGGCTTCTTTCTAATATAAATAAAAAACTGCTGTACTATACTGTAAAATCACAAAGTACTTGCTATTCTGAATATTCCTGCCTGTGTCAAAAGGCCT